GGTAATCACGTTGTCTCTACTTACTTTATTGCTTATCGTCTTATTCACTCTTTTTCTCCCTTTCCTGCCAATCTTTGCTTGAAAATAAAAGCAAAAAAAACAAGAACTTCTGTCCATTAGCAGACAGTTTGTGTCACTTGACCTTTTTGAATCCTCCACATTCCTGACATCCATTAATGCATTTCAGTAACCGTGAAACCAACAATACTGAAACCTGTTCTGAGGACATCTTGGCCTTTCCAATCATATTTCATTTGTGGGGGTGGGATCCTCTCAGCAGGAGTTCTGCCCTTTGAAAATGGCTCAGCAATCACATTTTATAGGAGAAAAATAAGCGACTGGGTAAAAAATATCAATTTAGTTTGTTTTGTGGGGGTTTTTTCATAGATTTTTTTTTGGGGGTTTTTTTTGGGGGGGGGGTAAAATTGTCTTTGCTTTTTAACCAGTAACTACTAATCTTATTATTATTAATTTTAAGAACTGTATTCAAATCAGTGGATTGATTGTGCCTCACATGCATTTATCTGACAAGGTTTATCAGAGTTCAAAAGACAAAAGAATTTCAATGATATTCAGTGTTATCATAACCATAAGTACCACCTTAGGGTTACATTCATTTCAACTTTGAGGTGAACGATGGAAGTGATACCAACAGAAGCAAAGTAGTGATCGGCTGTCATTTACAAAGTGATAACCAAACCACTGTGGATGTTACAGTAATCTCCCTGTCACTCTCAGAGTGAATGGGAACTGTCTTTGAAGCGACATCTACTTTGTGTAATCGGGAACAGTTTACACTTATTAAGTAAAATAAGTGCACAATATATTCAACCTTATGCAAAATCCTTCCTATATTACACAATATTTGTGCACGTGCTTTTTGCAAACTCCTGCTAGATGATTAAGAGTTTAGTGATGAAAATTGCTACACAGGTACATCTAAGGTCCCTGAAGCCTCTAATTTTAGATATTATGATGTCATCATGTTACCACCATAGCAACCATCTTTATCCAGATAAGTTTATCCATGTACAGCCCCTTATGAAAGCATTGTATCATTTCTATTTTACAACAAAAATGTTATTATGTATGATATATTATGATCCCCTGTTGTCTAGCAACTACCTGACAATGGACTAAATCATAGAAAAAACAATACTGTAGCATGGGTAACAACTATTTTAATATACCATCATTGCCATCACTGATGGCACATTATATATTAGATTAATTCTTTGCATTTTTTTGTGGTTTTATTATTTTTAGTGGCTCAGTTCTACATTGCAGCAGTTTAGTTGCACGAAAAGTAAAACTGTGACTCTGAGAGCTGACTGTGTCTTTCTGAAGGTGTCATCTTTATGTGCAACATTATCGTCTGTTACACCAGTTCTCAAGTTTCCGTCTTCCCCTTGACACCTCTTTGCTTTAGATGTGTATTAGCACCTAATTTCATGTAGCGTGAACAATTTCCCTTTTTACTTTTGTCACAACACAACTGCTCTGATTACATGCCAGTGACAGTATTTTACAGTTAGCATTGCCTATTGCTCTAATGAGTCTATTTACACTACTAAATTTGTTGTTTGTTAGTATTTGTTTATGGTATCATTTCAGCCACCTTAACAAAGCAGATTAGGCAGCATTTTAAAGCGATTCTAGTGCTGATTATTTGATGGGTCAGACTGTCCACTTCAACAACAACAACAGGTATGAGTTGCCAAAGTGAAGAGAAGGATTTACTGTACTTTACTGCTTTCTTCCATTTG